TATCATGGAGTTATATATATATATATATATATATATATATAAATGAAATGACAAAGTAGATAGCTAATTTGAATAATATATAAAGTAACACAGGGCAATTGAAAATTTGTCTAAGTGTCAACTTAAGATCTTGGTATTTTTTTTTATTAACTAGTAAATTTTTAACATTTAATTATCATGGAGTTATAGTGTAATCATTCTCATGGTGTATATTAATTGTAAATCACAAATTATAAATAACAATGTTGGTATTCACCAAATTTTCAATATTACTCGTAAATTTATTTAGTATAGAAATGATTGAATTTTTCACTCATGTTACTAAATAGAGTTTTTTTAGATAATCGTTCAATAAGTGGGCATTTGGTCTAGTGGCATGATTCTCGCTTAGGGTGCGAGAGGTCCCGAGTTCAATTCTCGGAATGCCCCCAACTCTCATTTTGCCACTTTTTTGTTAAAAAAAAATATGATTCCAATTGGACTACGACAGTGGGCCATTCACTTATCTTTTTTTTGGTTTAGTTTGGAGCCCAAATGGATGAAAAGAAGTGGGTTGACAGTTTTAGCCTATTGTGAAGAGCTGCCTAAAGAGCCCAGTACGATTCTTGGGCCGCACGTTGAATGGGCTGTTCAACGTGTAGCCCATTTGAAAAAATATAACAAAAAACCAATCAGTTTTAGCTACTCGCATTATATATATATAAGAAATATGAAGAGGAGATCCACTCTTCGCTGGCTTTTCAAAATAGTAAAATTGAATAAAGTTACATTTAAATAGAGATTGGGACATGGAGATTGAAGTTTCACCAACTGTCCATGAACCAATTGCAATGGGTCATTTTTCAAAATTGTGATGAAGACAAAGTAGACAGCCTCAACAAACCTTGTTGGTGAATCAACCAAATCTCATTTTCTCTTAATTTGGACCATTACCTGAATTCATTGACAAATTCCCTTCGTTACAATTTCAATGCCTCTGCTGTTTTTAGGATAAGAAGTCATACAATACGTGCCCAGTCAATATTCAATATCATAAATATGTTACGTTATCTCTTGTGGGACCATATATGTTGTGATTACATACATAATTCAATCCAAACAAAAATGATAATATTACATTTTCATAATCGATAAATAATAGCTCACATAGATAGGTTTTTTTAAATAATAAAAAAAAAAAACACTCGACAAAAAGTTAGTTAGCTCTATTATGGTACTAAGTATTTAGGGACTCATCCAATAAGCCAGCCAACTCACTGCAAAGCCTTTAAATCATATAGATTCTTTTCTTTTCTTTTTTTAAATCCATTTTTATGGTAAATGAACAGGAAGATGATTGAGAGTCCGGACAATTTTAATTAATTTATATGAGTGGAGTTAATTTTATTATTATGTTATTAATATTATATCATCGTGATTACGTCAATCTCACTCACATAAAATAATGTTGAATTCTCTAGAAATGAAAATTCACAATAATATATTTCATTTTATTTGTTTTTGATCAAATGCTCCATCTTTTTGAACTATCTATCATCTCTAAAATCGTTTAATGGATCATGCAAAAAGTTCAATAGGATTACCAACGTGTTTGAAACCAAATAGTTTGTTAAAATGGTTCCATCAATCGTATGAATCCTATATGAGAGCAATGTATTCTTTTCGTGCACGACATTAGAGGTCGGTTCAATTAAGCGATATATATATAATCGCCTTTAAGATTAATTAGGATATATATATATATATATATATATTTCCCTGTATGTAAGATATCCATGCATGTCACAATCAGCAGTCATATAAAAATTAAATAAATCTTGATATTTCTTCTTCTTTCTTTCTATTTATGTTTTTATTTAAATTATTTCTTCATTTTCGATCAGTCCATTAATGGCATTCTCATTCTAAACAAGTAAGTTATTGCCAAGCCACGTGATAGTAATACACACAATCATATAACCTAATGTCAACTATTAGGATAAAGGAATAGAAATTTTTGGTATTATAGTTACTAGGTTGTATGAAATTGAAGTTTTAAAATTAGAATTGGTAGAATTTGAGAAAATCTTAGTTTAATTTTTTTTAAAATTTTACAAAATCTCAATTTCGATTCTTTAATTTCATACAATTGTACGTACCCTAAATTTTTTTTTCTTATTTTTTCTTAAAAATCAAATTAAGTTCCTAGCTAGTCTCCACATCACACGAGACAATATTAATATGATTCAGTGTACCACTAGGTGTAAAAGGAAACTATTTATGAAAGAGTGAGATCTATATATAGAAGAAAACAACAATTTTAATAACAAAGTATTTTCTTAATTATTTGAAATTAAAGACATAAATTTTATTTTGTCATAATACCATTCAAAGTTTTAGTTTATAACTTAAACATGAACTAGGAAAGTAAAGAAAGTCATAATTTTTTAGCATCCTTTACATGAAAATTGATAATTTTGGGTGCTTTACTAGTCCATGTTTAATTTATAAATAATAATTTGACCGTTCAATTCGGAGACCGAATTTTATTTATGTGAGTGAGTGGCGGGACATCGAATTCAATTTATAAATCACTACTATTAATTTATTGCAATATTTTTGCATAATGGAATCCAAATCTTGATACAGAAAATTAGCGTATATTTTGATACATAATAGATTGTTGAAACATTTAAGGGCCATTTAGACCACTAAAAGTCATCAACCAATAATTTCATGAAATATTTAGTTTTAGAGTAGACTCTTAATCAATATCACAAAGTCGACAATCTCACGCCTCCATTGCATTGCATCAAACGATTTGAGATGGTCCGCCAATTGATTTTGATTAGTTCATAATTTAAAAGATGATCTTATCATGCCTTTTAAACCAATAAAGGGTGTAATAAGAATTCTCCCATCATGATATTTTCTTAAAAAAATTATTCAAACTTGAAAATGATTTTGGAACCACCATTAAGCTATAATTTTTATTTTCATTTTAAAATTATAAGTGCCGCAAAATTGTGTTTTCTTGTAGTGTTATATATTTCTAATGGGGTTGTTTAGAATTGTAATAAAATGAATCATCCAATTCTAACAATATATTTATATTTAAAGAATGAAAAATTGCACTAAACTACTTCAGTTTTATTATAATGCATATATTTGTGGAATGATTTTGTATTAGGTGGCTTAAAGTACTTCCACGGGTATGTCTGTCTGTTTTCTGTACTATGTGTCACTGTTACTAGGTTTGCAAAGATAAACATATGGGAATAAACCAAAAATAGAATTTAATATTTAATATTTTCATTTTATATGATTATACTTGTCGTTTAATTACCAGTCATGACAACTCAGTTATACTCGTCACCTTTAACTTTATGTAGTATATGTGTGTGTCAATAACTGTTTAATTTTCAAATATATCATTTTTATAGAGTTCTTGATGGGATATCTGAGACATCAGACATATTTTGGAAGTAAAATTATCTGAAAATAAAATATGAAAAGAAAGAAAGAAAATAAAATCAGTGGAAGAGCTGTTACCGTGGAATCTGCTACAGCTGCTTAATTCTTTATCTCAAACAAAAAGAAATAATTCTTACTTTACTTTCCGAAAAAGAAAAAAAAAAATCCACAATTAATTTTTAGTCCACAAAAATCCATATCTAAAAGGATAGGCTCAATAAAAGATCAAAATGGTACATTCTCTAAATTTATCTGAATGAGTGTGAATGGAAGACCCTCGTTCACGACAGACCTATACGTAAGTGAGGGCCCTAATGTACCTTGACATTTTTGTTCTTTTTTAATAGGACAACCTACAATGATCTCCACGAGGTTTGATATAATTGTAACTAAATCAAAAATTTGTCATTTTTTTACAAAAACCTTCCCTTTTGTTAGATTTTGTTGTGAATTTCCTTATCTATCCTCATTATTATATTATAAAAATAATCAAAATATTGAAACATATCAATTGTCAATTTTACCCCCTATACTTACAACCCCACATTTGTTACCTAGCGTCCTTAACAAATCAGTCTCCACCGATCCCCACCTCCATCAATATCCATCGTCTCTCTTTCAATCTCTGGGTGCATACCCACTCATTTATACCCATTCACTTCTTCATCTGGATCCGATGTGTGACAAGTTCTCTCTTGTTACATTCTCTCCCATCCGAACTCGCAACGCCCTCGTTGCGGCTCATGCCACCTTGCCTACCTGGGCTGCAAACCCGGACGCCCCCCGGGCCGAGCGCTTGAAGTGACACCGGATCAATGATTGTATCTGGCTCTAATACCAACTGTAACGGGTGGACGCTTGCCTATTTACTCAAAAGTTTAAATTATTAAGTAGTATTGCATACCCACTCATTTATATCCGTTCATTTTTTCATTCGATACAGAACAAACACTCTCTGTCTACACTAAATCAATTGGTATATAATTGCATGTGGGACTAGAATAATTACTGACTCTCCCCCTTCTTCCAAAAAAAATATATTTTTATATATAGTAAATAAAAAGACCTTGGTAAAAGTATTAGGTTCAACCAAAGACCTTAGTTAAGAAAGAGCAATGCTTGGAAATAAATAAATAAATAAATGAGAAGAATGAGCTCTGCAGCACAATGTTTGGGACATGGTAAATGAATTGCCACCAACTAAAACGGATGTAATATAAGCTAGCCACATATTCATGTACCCTTCTGTTACAAAATTCACATATTAAAAAATAAAAAATAAAAATAAAAATAAAAACAAAAACTTTCTGATAAATGATCAAGCAGATCTGCTCTTTAAACCACCTTCCCCACCACACAGTCACACACACACACACACACACGCAAGGCCAAGAAAAAGGAGGCATTGGTCCAAATACATATTTACTCATTCAATTAAGCACCCATCTCTATCATTCAGCCCCTAATTCTTCTCCAATAACCAGTCTAAGGTCAATTGTCTCTCATTTTCCTCCTTCCTTTTCCCCTTGCTAAAAGTCCATAAATTTGTTAAAATATTTGCCTCGATTAATCACTCATCTCTCTCTCTCTTTCTCTCTCTATAAAGACCCCAAAGGACTGTTGCACAATGTTTTCCTACGTGATGGCCTTTCTATTTTATCATATTCTGAAGCTCGATCTCCTACTAGTTTAGCTGTTTATATATGCTTCCAAATTCTATATATATAAACTTAGTGCCACTTTACATACCATAAACAAGAAAATGTCATCAGCAGGTGATCGATCGTTGGAGCAAACTCCAACATGGGCTGTTGCAGTTGTCTGTTTTGTGCTCGTTGCAATTTCAATCGTCATCGAACACATCATTCACTTAATTGGAATGGTACTTATATGCTATATATATATTACATAGTATATAATTAATGATGCTATTTACTACTATATTATGTAACATATATATGAATAATATATTCTCTAATGTAAGCTTTCTGTTTCATGCAGTGGTTAACAAAGACAAACAAAAAAGCCCTTTTTGAAGCACTAGAAAAGATTAAATCAGGTTATATAGTAATCTGTCACACTTTGTTCTCTAATTATATAAAAATATTCATGCATGACACTTGATTAATTTCATCATATATAACCACGATATATATGGTGGCCTCTTTCTCTTACAGAGCTTATGCTATTGGGATTTATATCACTGCTGCTAACAGTGGGACAAGGACCAATATCAGAAATATGTATACCAGAGGCCATTGGAGATACTTGGACTCCATGCGACCGCGACGACATGGAAGATAACATGGAGGATGCAGATGACAACAGACGAAGAAGGCTTCTTGCTGCTTTCTCCGACTCCTCCGGCTGGAGTACTGACGATCATCGACGTGTTCTAGCCGCAGCTAAGTATGGCAAATGTGCAGAGGCATGACTTCCCATCATTCTTTTTTTTTTTTTTTTTTTTTTTACTTAATTCCTAATAAAAACATGAATAATTGATGTTTCTATAGTTTTATGATCATTTTGTTTGGAACTCGTAAAAATTTGGGAGGAAGGGAATCAAGAAGCCATTGCATTCTAGTAATTGATTTTGAGCGTTGTAAAGATTTAAGATTGTAAGATTGAGGTGTGTTTTGGTGCACTTGAATTTTGAATTGCAGGGTAAAGTTCCGTTTGTGTCCACTTATGGCATCCACCAACTGCACATATTCATCTTCGTGTTAGCTGTTTCCCACATCCTTTATGGTATTATCACTTTGGCTTTAGGTCGATTAAAGGTACTCTCTCTCTCTCACACACACACACACACACAAACACATACACACACAACGAACAGGAATTGATGTGTTTTTGTCAATGGAATGTAGATGAGAAAGTGGAAGTCATGGGAAATGGGAACGAGGACAAGCGAATATCAATTCTCACACGGTAATTAATTTTTGACAAACTTGGCACTTATTTCTTCAATTTTGAAACAAATTGACCATCATTAATCTACTATTGTTAGACATAATCTTTAAGAATTTGTGGGACAGTGACTTAAAAAATGATTCAATTAGGATTAACGATGAAATATGGAGTGAAATGAGGTGTGTTTTGCAGATCCGGAGAGATTTAGGTTTGCGAGAGAGACGTCGTTTGGAAGAAGGCACCTCCACTTCTGGAGTCAATCACCCATTCTTCTTTGGATAGTAAGAAAGAAAAAATTTTAATTTCTACTTTACAATTTATTTTTTTAGTGATTATTTTCTCAGCTTCTTACTGAAATATTTATGTCTAAGATGATCCATATATATAAACACTGTTGCGTATTGCACTACTTCTAACATCCTTGCAAAGCACAATTGAAGCTTAATTCATATTTGTTAATGTTGTTGATGTTCCTCAAGTTCTCTCACACACACTCACATATTTATATATTTACACACACATTATATAAATATAACACACACATATATATGTAACAATACATATTATATTGGTGCTGCTTTGCCACAACAATTCCTGCCACAACAATTCCAACTACAATGCTACATTGTACTGCTCCAAAATTACACCAAAACAGAGCATCTAAATCAGTAGGTGTAACATATTATTCAGTCTTGACTTGACTTTAGGGATGATAGGACATTAAATGGTATGTATGTGTCAAAGACATTTTGAATCCATGATTAAGAAATAAGACTTTTATTGCCATGTCATTTAATAATCCTAATTGAAGACTTTTTTCTAGTACTAAATGCCTTTTATGTTTTTTATGACTTCTTTCATACGCTATTAGGTTTAGAATTTCTGTAGAATGATCTAATGCCATTTTTCTCTGCAATATAAACTTTGTATATTTTAGCTGATCAAAATTCATCAACATGATGATGCTATATATTAATGCCAAACCAACCTATCTTTTCTAAAAATTGCAGGTTTGTTTCTTCCGACAGTTTTTTAGATCAGTTCCAGAGGTTGACTATTTAACTCTTCGCCATGGATTTATTATTGTAAGTTTTTCATAAAAATTATCGAGTCACTATATAATTGAGTCTCTGAGACCATTCTTTTGTTAATCATATCGAATCAGTGAAATTTCATATATTGCTGATCAGGGGAAGCACTAGTAATGGGCTAACCTGGGCTATAGCCCAGGTCCAATTAGGAAAAAAAAAATAATAATAATATTATTGTTCCTATAAACTCATGTATTATTCTTCCTCTTCCTATCAGTCCAATTCATAGTATATTTATAAATAAAAAGAGTTATAAAATTTACAAAGATCAAGCCTTAAATATAAGCAAGTCCACGAACAATGGACAAACTCAATCACAAAAAAAACTATAATAAAACATAATAGGTCCAGTCCAGCAAACCAAACACATTGTTAGTTTATAGAAAAAGACCTAGACTCAATGTTTTATTATTGTTAATCCAGTGAAATATTGATTTTTATTCTTGTAATAAAAAAATAAAAATAAAAGTTTTGTTGATGACTTGATGGTTCTTTGATAAATTGGGTAATTTACTATATAATGGATTAACAAATAGTCAGGGGCGAAACACATAGGTCTTACTTTCTAATATGAATTTATTAATAAGGAATGTATATATATCTTGCGTTCTTGTAGGTGTTTGTTTTAATACTTGTATGAAACATATTTTAGTGGATTCTTAACTTTGAAAACATATTAGAGTTTGGAAATGTACGTAAATGTGTTTGAAGGTTGTAGATTATTAGGTTTAATTAAATGACTGACGCATGAAAATTCTGTATTAGGTTTAATTATTGTTAGTCCTTTCTACTTTGTAATTCTGACTCCGCCCCGGTCGTTGATATAATAATTATTATTTTTATGTGATACTTAATTTCAGGCACATTTGGCACCACAGAGTCAGATAAATTTTGATTTTCACCAGTACATCAAGAGATCGCTTGAGGAAGATTCCAAAGTCGTTGTAGGGATTAGGTGGGTCATTGATTTTACTGTTTTGTAATGTAAAATGATATTGAACATATATATTGTGAGATCTCATATATTTTGCAGCAAATAATACGTAGTATAAAAATATATAGATAATGTTTAGTTGGAAAATTGCACTACTAAGTATGCCTAGCAATAAAAATCATAGTTTAACCAAAATTTCACTTAAATGAATAATATATACATTATTATTTCATGCTAACGTTGATAACTTGTCCTTTCAATTTTGCAGCCCAACAATCTGGTTCTGTGCAATATTGTTCTTACTATTCAATACCAATGGTAAGCAAATACAGCTTCGATCTTTAATTTCTAGTCACTATAGCTTCATCTCTTCTAGCAAATATAACAAGGATTAGGGTTTCATCCAATCCATCCCTCCCAACACCCTCCATCAACGGAGATCAAACTCAATAATGGTGAAATATATGGCTAAAGAGTAGCACAATTAATTCCTAATAATATGCTGTTTTTGTGAACAGGCTGGTATTCGTATTATTGGCTACCCTTCATTCCACTCATTGTAAGCATCACTTTTAAACACTGGGATCTTTCCCGGGTCTTACAAAACTTGATCTAATGCTCAATACTTACTGTGCAGATAATCCTTTTGGTGGGGACAAAGCTACAGGTGATCATAACCAAGATGGGGCTGAGGATTGGAGACAGAGGAGAGGTGGTTAGGGGAGTCCCATTGGTTCAGCCTGGTGATGACCTCTTCTGGTTCAACCGTCCTCGTCTTCTAATCTACCTCATCCATTTTGTTCTCTTTCAGGTGTGCTTTCCTCTAAAACCTAACAATCTAACCGACAATGATGCTAGTAAAGGCATTTATCTCACTCGGCTAGCATTCTTGGTTTGAATTTTCGTTCTAAGTAGCATTGTCCATGTAATAAACTCTGTTTCAATTATTTGCATCTCTCATTTTATTTTTATTTAACTCATATTGCTTTATAATATTGTTTTTCCCTCACAGAATGCATTTCAAATCGCCTTCTTTGTATGGGCATGGGTAAGTTATTAGCTTTTCCTTTTCAATGTTCTCTAATCAAAGCTTTAGTATTTCTCTAACACAAATTCTACCGTTGATTCTTTTTTTTTCTTCTCTAACAATCTTGTGTTTTATAGTATGAATTTGGCTTGCACTCTTGTTTTCATGAGAAAGTGGAAGATATTGTCATCAGGTTATCAATGGGGTGAGTTCAATACTCAAGTATAGCAGTAATAAGTTCTCTGGTCACATGTTTAGATAATAATACAACATATTGTTGCTGATACAGAGTGTGTATATAATTATGATTTCAACAGGATCCTCATACAGATACTTTGCAGCTATGTAACACTCCCTCTCTATGCCTTGGTAACACAGGTCAGACTCTAATATTCAGTAGTGTAATTGTCAATAACACGTTATCCCATAGTCTGATTTTTTTTTACCATAATTCATTATGTTCTGTCTCATTTATCTATCAGTTCCAATGGTCGTCTATTTACTGTCTCAATAAAAACAGATGGGTTCAACCATGAAGCCAACCATCTTCAATGAGAGGGTGGCTAAGGCTCTACACAATTGGCACCAAACTGCAAAGAAACACCTCAAACAGAACCGCCAATCAGGCGCAGTGACGCCATTGCCGAGTAGGCCGACCACTCCACTGCATGGCTTCTCACCTGTTCATCTTCTACGTCACTACCGGAGTGAGCTTGATAGTGTTCATAGATATCCAAGGCTTTCCAGCTTTGACAATGAAGTTTGGGAAGCTGAGGGCTGTGCTTCACGCTCTGTTTCACCCCAGAACGAAGACGAGCAATGGTCTCAACAGTCTAAAAATCATTGTATAGTGGAAGATGAGAAAGAAGCTCAGGAGATGAGCTACACAGTATCAGCCCCTTAGGCTCTCCGTGTTCAACACACGGTTGACATACGTACAACAGATTTCTCATTCGAAAGATCAAGAATCTGAATACTTCAAAAGACGATCTAGTGTTGTCTTTCCTTAACCAAGTTTGTTTGTTTTACCAGCAAATGTACAATTGAATCCCAGACACAGTGGTTCAAGTCTCAAATATATCAACTTGTTCCAAATCACAGATTGCTTCAGTTTGAATAAGATATCAACATTACAGCTGGAAAAAGTGGGGAAATATTAGCATGACAGTTTGAATACTAGCTGTGAAATTAAAATGATCCATATGAAGTTATATATGTTGCAAACAACTCGTGAATGTTCCTCCAAAACAATCTCTATCAACAACAACAATTCTCACACCATATAAATTAAGGTGATCGGACGTATCAGTGAACAACTTGGAAATATCCCAAAACCTACTTCATGGGTAACAGAAATACCGTAATGAAAAGTAACAAACAAGTTTGATGCCAAGCATTTGAACAAATAGGATTGTCCAGTTCCTATAAAACATTTGTCTCCACCAAAGCGTAGATTTATCTGCAAAACCTAACTATTTCCTGCCTTGTTTTTTTGTGGATATGGTATATTGTTTCAATATACCTAACCAAAACACTTGCCCTACTACATTCATATTCAAATTCATATCCATCACTACTGCCAAATCATTGCCCAAACTTGGCATAAAATTGCTATGACATACTAAAAATTCTAAATCTCATCAGAACATAATTTCAAAGACAAATGGAAAAATCACTAATAGTTTGCTACACACGAAATGTATAAAACCAACCGTGTAATAAGAGTTTAAAAAGAAGCAAAACGGAAGAATCGTGAAAAGATGTATAGTAACCAGACACAATTTTTATTCCACGTCCTTAAACCGTCGTCTATAGATAGAGATAGATAGAGAACCACATAACAAGAAAAACACAAAATCAAACACTTAACACAAGTCTAGGAGGACTTTCAGTAATCACCACCACGGAGACGAAGGACAAGGTGCAAGGTTGACTCCTTCTGAATGTTGTAATCAGCAAGGGTACGCCCATCCTCGAGCTGCTTACCAGCAAAGATCAACCTCTGCTGATCAGGTGGAATCCCCTCCTTGTCCTGAATCTTAGCTTTCACATTATCAATGGTGTCCGAGCTCTCAACCTCCAAAGTGATTGTCTTCCCAGTCAGAGTCTTCACAAAGATCTGCATGCCACCTCGAAGACGGAGGACCAGGTGGAGAGTTGATTCCTTCTGAATATTGTAATCTGCAAGGGTACGGCCGTCCTCAAGTTGCTTCCCAGCGAAGATCAGCCTCTGCTGATCAGGGGGAATGCCTTCCTTATCCTGGATCTTTGCCTTGACATTGTCAATTGTATCCGAGCTCTCAACCTCCAGTGTGATTGTCTTGCCGGTTAGGGTTTTCACAAAGATCTGCATGCCTCCTCTGAGGCGAAGAACAAGGTGTAGAGTCGATTCCTTTTGGATGTTGTAATCTGCGAGGGTCCGGCCATCCTCTAGTTGTTTTCCGGCAAAGATCAGTCGCTGCTGGTCTGGAGGAATACCTTCCTTATCCTGGATCTTCGCCTTAACGTTGTCGATCGTATCAGAGCTCTCCACCTCGAGGGTGATTGTCTTGCCTGTTAGGGTTTTCACAAAGATTTGCATACCACCGCGAAGGCGGAGGACAAGGTGTAGTGTCGATTCCTTTTGGATGTTGTAGTCAGCGAGGGTACGGCCGTCCTCGAGTTGCTTTCCGGCAAAGATCAGCCTCTGCTGGTCCGGGGGAATACCCTCTTTGTCCTGGATCTTGGCCTTCACGTTGTCAATCGTGTCCGAACTCTCGACTTCCAGAGTTATCGTCTTGCCGGTGAGGGTCTTGACGAAGATCTGCATGCCTCCTCGAAGCCTCAGGACAAGATGGAGAGTCGACTCCTTCTGAATGTTGTAATCAGCGAGGGTACGGCCATCCTCAAGCTGTTTTCCGGCGAAGATCAAGCGCTGCTGATCCGGAGGAATTCCTTCCTTGTCCTGGATCTTGGCTTTGACGTTGTCGATCGTATCAGAACTTTCGACCTCAAGCGTGATCGTTTTGCCGGTTAGGGTTTTCACGAAGATCTGCATGCCTCCGCGAAGCCTCAGAACAAGATGGAGCGTCGACTCCTTCTGAATATTGTAGTCGGCGAGTGTGCGGCCGTCCTCAAGCTGCTTTCCGGCAAAGATCAAACGCTGCTGATCCGGGGGAATTCCTTCCTTGTCCTGGATCTTGGCTTTGACGTTGTCGATCGTATCGGAACTCTCGACCTCGAGAGTGATGGTCTTACCGGTTAGGGTTTTTACAAAGATCTGCATCTGTAATTACAACCGATAACAATTAATACAAGGACTCAATACAGAGAATAACCAATGAAAACCCTAAAACCAACAGATCTAATATAAAAACCAACAGATCTGTGACGTTAATCGACAGATCTAACAAAAAAAACCAACAGATTTGTAACACAACGTTGACTGGAACCAGAACCGTGATGAATCAAAAACTTATGTTACTCTAAGCAAAGATTAAAAATCAATGAAACTAAGAAGATGATTTACCTTGAGAGAGAACGAAGAAATCCTTGATTGCCTTTGAAGAATAGAATATAGAGACAGAAAGTGGAGTAATTTGATGATATAGAGAAGAGAGGCAATAGCATGTATTTATAGGCGATAAGAGATTGCCGACTTGGTCACGGAGAGGACTCGTCCGGAAGAAACGTGAAGGATGTGGTCATCAAAGTCGGTAGGGTATTTTTAACCAAAAATAAAAAATAAAAAATAAAAAAAAGTCGGTAGGGTTCGGTTGTCGCTGCGATTATCCTGAAATATCTTTACTGTGGCATGGACCCACACACCCATTTATTGAACTTTGAACTTTATGAGCGGCGGCATCCTAAAATAAGGTCAAATAAAATACAGTAAAATCAGTATAGGGTTTCAAAATTATGATTTATTAATAAAATCACAAAAATTTTAATAAAATATACACGACTGAAAAAAAAAAAAAAAAAAATTTGCGTGAACTACATATTATAATTTATTTCATAAAGTCGCAAAATTTTCATGAAAAATGTCTCTTTTAAATTATCAAATTAAAAAAAAAAAAAAAAAACCATGAACTAATTACACTATGATTAAATTTATTTTTAGTTTAACAGGTAACTTGTTTATTTTAACTTGATAACTTATATAATTTATTTTAACTGGTACTTTGTTTTATCATTTGGTAAATTACTTTCTTATTTCATTTATAAATGATTCGAAACATTTTGATTCAATTTCAATTAAAAAATTACATATTTAATTTTAATTGGTAATTTATTTAATGATTTGAAATATCTTGATTGTTTCAACTAAACAATTGCCTATTTAATTTAAATTGATAAATTATTTTATTAATTAGTAAATTATATGTTATTCAATAATTACCTATTTTATTTTAACATAACTTGTTTATTTTAATTGGTAACTTATATAATTTATTTTAATTGATAATTTACTTTATTATTTGAAAATTTATTTTATTATTCTATCTATAAATAATTTGAAACATCATAATTGAATTTCAATTAACCAATTACCTATTTAATTTTAATTGATAATTTATTTAATTATTTGAAACATTTTGATTTCAATTTCAATTAAACAATTATCGGATTTATTTTAATTGGTAACTTATTTTAATATTTGGTAGACTGTATATTATTTTATCTATAAATGTTTTGAACCATCATGATTAAATTTCAATTAAACAATTACCTAATTAATTTTAATTGGTAATTAATTCAATAATTTGAAACATTTGGATTGAATTTTAATTAAATAATCACCTGATTTATTTTATTTGATATCTTATTTTATTATTTGGTAATTATTTTATTACTTTATCTATAAATGATTTAAAACATCTTGATTGAATTTCAATTAAACAATTACCTATTTAATTTCAATTGTAATTTATGTAATGATTTGAAATATCTTGATTGAATTTCAATTAAACAATTATCTATTAAATTACAATTGATAATTTATTTTATAATTTGGTAAACTATTTTTTAAATAATTACCTATTTTATTTTAATAGGTAACTTGTAGATTTTAATTGATAACTTATATGATTTATTTTAATTGGTAACTTATTTTATTATTCGATAAATTATTTTATCTATAAATAATTTGAAACATCTTGATTGAATTTTAATTAAATAATTACTTATTTAATTTTAATTAGTAATTTATTTAATGATTTGAAATATCTTGATTGAATTTTTATTAAAAAATTACCTAATTTGTTTTAATTGCTAACATATTTTATTATTTGATAAATTATTTTATTATTTTATCTATAAATGATTTGAAATATCTCGATTAAATTTCAATTAAAATATACCTATTTAATTTTAAATGGTAATTTATTTAATAAATTGAAATATCTTAATTTCATTTCAATTAAAAAATTACCTTATTTATTTTAATTGGTAACTTATTTTATTACTTGGTAAATTACATTTTTATTTTATTTATAAATGATTTGAAACATTTTGATTTAATTTCAATTAAATAATTATCTATTTAATTTTAATTTTAATCAGTAATTTATTTAATGATTTGAAACATCTTGATTGAATTTCAATTAAACAATTACTTATTTAATTTTAACAACTATTTTATTTTATTATTTGGTAAATTATGTTATTAAATAATTACGTATTTTCATTTCATAGGTAACTTGTTTATTTTATAATTTGGTAAATTATGCTATTAAATAATTACGTATTTTCTTTTCATAGGAAACTTATTTTATTATTTGAAAAATTATTTTAATATTTTATCTATAAATGATTTTTAACATCTTGATTGAATTTCAATTAAACAATTACCTATTTAATTTTAACTGGTAATTTATTTAATGATTTTAAAAATCTTGGTTGAGTTTCAACTAAACAATTACCTATTTAATTTTAATTGGTAATTTATTTTATTATTTAATAAATTATTTATTTAATAATTATCTCTTTTATTTTAAAAGGTAACTTGTTTATTTTAATTGGTAACTCGATTTGAATTATTTTAATTGATAACTTATATTATTTATTTTAATTGGTAACTTATTTTATTATTTGAAAAATTATTTTATTATTTTATCTATAAATGATTTGAAACTTCTTGAATTTCAATAAATGATTTGAAATATTTTGATTGAATTTCAATTAAACTAATTACCTATTTAATTTTAATATGTAATTTATTTAATAATTTGAAACATCTCGATTAGATTTCAATTAAACAATTACCTATTTAATTTTAATTGGTAATTTATTTTATTATTTTATAAATGAGGATGCCAAAGACGACTCGAGCCAGATCCAACTCGCATAAACGAAGTTTGGGCCTGATAATTGACATGGGCCCAAACTTGACGTCCACAAAGCAGACCGGGTGTAGTGGATTGCTAAAAAGGCCTTCAAAGAGGATTCAGGTCCATAACCGTTTAACCTTGAGGATAGGCCTAGCGGCGGAAGTTAGTTAAGGATGCTCTAGAATAATGCAACTGGTCTGTAAATAGAAAGGAGAAGGAGGAATGTGGGATCGAAAGATTTGAAGTGTAATGAAACTCTGTCAATTTAGAGAGAGAAAATTAATGCATCTTCAATGGCGCCGTCCGTGGGAAACGAAGAAGATTGACGAGTGTTAGATTTAGCTTGATTCGATCTAGAATAGTTCATTAGGACGAAGCTAGATCGCTAAAGGCAGAGTCATGATCGGTGAAATCACAGTTTGTGTTACCGAATCTCGATTCCGTTTAATTTGGAAAGCTTGATAGGTCACCTTGCACAGCTCTGGTTTGCGTTTGTTCCGATGAGTTGTGTGGTTGAGATCAGTAGAGATTACTGAGTTTGTTGAATTTGTCATTGGAGCAATCTAGATCCGGTCAATTGCAGTCAGAATTCGATCGAGCTTTAGTCTAGATCTAGTGCATTCGTGTTAGCAAAGCTCAGATCTAACAGGTAATTTGCAGTGAATGACTTTGCTTCGATCCGGTATGATGATCGGAGGAGAGAGCTCAAATCTATTGGATAATGGCTAGCAGTCGAAGCTCGATGAATTGATGAATATGATTGATGCGTTACGAAAAGAGAACGCCGAACTGCGAGCTGGAATGGAACGTCGTGAGGCTCCTACAGTTCCAAGGCCATCTCCGATAGTTGAAGCAGTTGCGCCGTCCAATGCTGCTCATCATGACGATCTGGAAGGGGAACGTCGCATGGATCCTCACCGCGACGAGATAGTGCAAGTTGATCTACCTCCTAACCTCCGATAGATGGAGGATAGGGAGGGATCTATCCACCACGATCCGCACCGCGAGCGAGTCATGCGAGAAGGAGCCGCAGCGTTTGATCCAAATCATGGAGGATTGCGACGTGATGAAGCAATGGAGGTCGATCAACACGGAACCTCGTCGCCATGGCAGAGAGGATTCGTGGAGGAGAGGTCGTTCGATCCGCCCTACCGTCCTTCAATATCGACCTATGGTTATAAGAGTTCCGACGAGAGGTCGGTGGATCCGAGGGTTCCATCGCGGTTTTCAAGGGAGAATGAGGCGCTTCGTTTTTCTGCAAGAACGGTTGCCTCTCCATTTACGAACGAGATCCTGAACCCTCCGAATCCGAGGAAGTTCTCCATGCCTGTGTTCATTCTTTTTTATGGAACAACCGATCTGATTGATCACATTTACCATATTCAGTTGAAAATGGCTTTGAACACGAACAACGATCCGTTGATGTGCAAGTGCTTTCCAACGACCTTAGCTAGCCCATCCCTCAATTGGTTCAAGAACTTGGCTCAAGGTTCAACTGTTAGCTTTCAAGATTTGTGTGATAAGTTCATAAGTCAGTATTATGGAAATAAACGTCCGGCAAAAGATGTGTCAAGTTTGTTTACAATAAAGCAGCATAAGGATGAGCGGCTCCAGGCCTTTCTCACCAGGTTTAACCTTGTTAAAAGTATGGTTATGGAATGTCATCCATCAACAGCCGTTCAAGCGTTCAAGCTAGCAATGACCCGAGGGACTCCGTTCCATACAAGTCTGGTGGTAAACATACCAAAGACGATGGACGAGTTGAACGAGAGAACTGATGGTTTTGTTCGTCTGGAAGAAGAGGAAACAGCTAACGCTAGGAAGACGTCTATCGTCTCTACAGAGGAGAAGTCTAAAGCCAAGATTTGGCAGAAACAACCCCCACCGCAGTGTCAGATCTCCTGGAAGGCAGAGAAAAGGCCCAAAGAGGATGAACTGATTACCCCACTCAAAGTTACATTGGTGAGGCTCTACCAAGAAAACAAAGATAAGTTTCGTCCTCCCTTACCAATCAGACAACCTCTCGAGCAGAGAGATCAATCTAAACATTGTGCTTTTCATAGTGATTTTGGTCATCAAACTAACAAATGCAGGAATCTGAGGAGGCAAGTGGAAATGCTGATCGCCAGAGGCGAGTTTGCAGGGTATGTTCAAGGGCCAGCGCAAGAGCAAAATCGTCCAGCTGAGCAAGTTAAGAGAAACCAAAAACCAAACCACCATAAAGCTCAGCCCGTACGGATTATTAACGCAATCCATGGCCGACCCGAGCAGACTGCAGAATCCGAGGAATTGCTCTGAACACGCCTCCGCCAAACGCAAATGAAGAGTCAAGTAGGCAATGTCAACACCCTGCACCAA